CATAGACAAACAACCAGGAAATAATTAACGAAAACATTTTGTTATTGTTATGAATTCCATCTCTTACTTATATATATGCATGTCTAATATTTCTCATGATGTCATCTGTCGTCACTATTTTCAAGTAATGCTAGTATCACAAATTGCTGGGTTTCACATTGGAATGATAGCACAATGATGGTATTGCGATAACAAAAAGGGTGAAATTGATCTGTTAGATATAATCTTTGCAAATATGAATGTATCTCAAGTTCAACGAAGTCAAATTACACAAATCATTTCTAAGCCACTCATTATGCCACATACTGTATTAACAAGTAATCGATGTGCAGCAATTCGATGCTCCAAATATAGTGAACTATGGGGTCTTGCATGACAAGCAACATAGCTTGCGGTTGAATCTGATGACGATGAAATAAAACAATAGCTAAAAGCATTTATTGATCAGAAAAAAAGCTCTGCAGCAAACAATAATAATGAAATGTCAATTGACAAAGAAAATAATCTAGAAATCGCAAATCTCCCAGTCACTAAACACAAAGGTAGATCTGAGAATAAACGGTACAAGTCTGCAGTAGAAAAAACACGTAGGCAACCATATGCATGTCATACATGTGGTCAGATCAGTCATAATAGTGCGAGATGTAAAAAAAAGAGAATTAATTCTGTTTAATAGTATAGCATATATGTATGCCGAAGGTGGGATATTGGAATAAGAATTGCTGTCCAAATTAGAATTGTAATATCAATGGTTAAACCAATTGAATTCATAAGAATTTACTGCTGATTACTAAATTAGTTTACTAATTTTTACTGTATGTATATTTTTTTTTAGCATCATGAGTGTAATTTTCAAAAGGTTAATCATATATTTTCAGATCGAATTCGATTATTGCATATACATTGTTAATAGAGCACTTCGTTAACTTCATTTTAATTGTAATACTCTGGAGTATTACTATTAAAATGGAGTTACCGGAGTGCACTACTAACAACCTTATACGTATATATCATGCCTTATACAAATATGAATACCAAACTATCAATACTTACTCTAATTACAAGTCAATGTATTTCAAGATCCTTTCGACATTTATGACTTTAATGACAGTCCAATTTTTTTTTTTGAAGTTTGAAGTATCTAAGATTTACATTATTATTTGCTATCTTTAATGAAGTTAATTCTTATATAGCACACAATTTTTAAATACGACAAACATGTCTATTTATATCGCATCCTGTCTAAGAAGTTGATCTCGATTCATATATTTTACAGTTATGTAAATTTATAACTTTGGGCTTTTAGTCACTAGATAATATTAGTTTAGAACTGGTGTTACTACGATGCAGTATTTAAAACTTACTTTATATTTATTCGTAAATCTGCTTTTAGTTATCTGATTGAATTTCTGATTTACATGGTATATCACGTGTCCAGTGACAAAAAAGTGTGTAATGGGGGGCAACAAATAAATTTACTCTTAAAAAAAAATTAACCAATTAATCATTAAACATAGATTAACAAATTTATCTAGACAACCAATTATATATATGCATAGTATAAAACTTAATTATAAAGAAGATCAAGTCCATATTAAATTTAAAGATTTAAATTTTACAACTACTCAAACAAGACTTGATACTGTTGTACACATACATGATAAAGCACTTTTAAGCCATAATAGGTATAGATATTTAGCAGCAGTTGTATTTATACTATTTTATGAATATTTGGTTGCTAATCATTAAAATCAAATAAATAAACTAATAAATACTCAAATACAAGTAAGGGTTTTTAATATAAATCAAGATGTTAATCAAAATAATGACTTTATTGAGCATGCTAGTGATATTTTAGTAGATAATAATAAAATTAGAAATAAAGCATTTTATTCTCTTACAACCTTGCTTAAAATATTAATATCTATCTAGAAATTCAAAAAAAATCTAATAATAATTCTAGGAAATACTCTTTATATAAAACTTGGTGAAGATGACCAGAATATTAGAAGAAAATAAAATCATATAATGATAACTTTTTGTTTATTAAATAAAAGAGATGAAGTATTTAAACCAAGTTATCAATTTAGATATATTTTTTTATATATTGTATAAATATTACCAAAAAAAAATCTGTTATTGAGCTTTTAATTCTATTTTGTAATAGACACTTTCTCTAATTAAAAGCTCATTAACAGGTTTTCTCTTAGTAGTACTTATATATATTATAAATTAATATTTTTTTTTTTTTTTTAGCAATCCTGCCTTTATTATAAGAGGTAATAATAAACTATTCTAAAAGAGTTATTACTAAAGTAATAGTTTTCTCTTCTGCATAATAAAAACTTATCCAATCATCTAAGTATCTAAATACGACCTGCCGCAGCAAGAAATTTTCCTTGATTGCAAGTCTTCTAACTGTCTAGAAGTTCCTTGACAACATCATCGTTAAGCCCTTGCTAGCTTTGTCAGGATTCCCTTATTCTATTTTTCTTGGTTTGCTTAAGGAAAGCCATGCCGGTTTTGAAAAGCCTTGTATCTAGCTTTGTATTATATCTTTAGCTAATTTGTAAAATCTTTGAAGCTTTCTTTTTTCTTTCTCTATTGTTTGGAGGCTAGCTATAGATACTTCTTCCTCTTCATTTTTTTTGAAATTCTTTTTTCTTTTACTTTTCCTTTTTTCTAATATGAGATTCATTTCTGGGATCCTTTTTTTTTTTTTTGGTTTGTCTATT